CTACAAAGGCACGCAGTTCTCCTGGGCCTCCTCGGCCAGCTCGAGGCGTTCCTCGATCCCCGGGGGGGCAGCGGCTGCCCTCCCTGGGCCTGGCGCTCCGCGGCGCGCGCGTCGCGAGGCGCGGCGACGGCCCCGACGCCGCGGCGCGGGAGGTGCCCTCGGAGGACGGCGACGCGGCCGCGATCGAGGCCGAGCTGGGGGCGGGGCGCGCCGCCGCCGCGCGGTGCGGCCCAGGCGCGGGGCTTGGCCGCACTCCCGAGCTTCCTCCGCCCGTCGTCCTGGGCGTCGTGGCCCTCGCGGGAGGGCCCGGGCGGCTCCGCGCCGTCGCCGCGGCGACGGGGGGCCGACGTGCGCGCCCACGGGCGCACGACCGCGCTGGGCGGCTGCCTCGGAGGCGGTGTCGGCGCTTCCGGGAGCGGTGGCAGCGCGGCGCCGTTGGCGCAGGCGTGCTCCTCCTCCTCCTCCTCCTCCTCCTCCTCCTCCTCCTCCTCCTCCTTCCTCCCTCCTCCTCCTCCTCCTCCCTCTCCTCCTCCCTCCTCCTCCTCCTCCTCCTCCTCCTCCTCCTCCTCCTCCTCCTCCTCCTCCTCCTCCTCCTCCTCCTCCTCCTCCTCCTCCTCCTCCTCCTCCTCCTCCTCCTCCTCCCGGCGAGGGCAGCGCTGGCGCGGCGTCCCCCGCTCGAGCAGCTGGCGCGAGACGACCCGGGCTCGCGCGGACAGGGCTGCGGAACTCGAGGCGGCTCTTGCGGAGCTCCAAGCGGCGGCTGCAGCCCTCGCGGCTGCGGGTCAGCCAGAGCGCCGCCTTCCTGACCGACATGGCGCTCTTCGCTGGGTGCTCCGTGGGGAGGCCTGGAAATAGGGGGCCACATGCGAACCCTACCCTTACCCCCCACGATTTCTGAGGGGGAGGGTGGGCTTCACCTCGTTCGCTCCCGAGCGAAGTGAAGCCCACCCTCCCCCTCAGAAATCGTGGGGGGCAAGGTAGGGTTCGCATGTGGCCTCCCAGGGAGTGCTCTCCCGCTTCGGCTGGCCAGCTGCCCATCCGGCCATCTTCGTGGAGCCGCCCCTCCGAGCGGAGAGCCTGTTTTCAAAACCTCCGCCGGGCGCCGCTGGCTTCGGCGCCGCCGGACGTGCGCCTCGTCGGCGGGTCCGCGCGCCTGCCTCCGCAGCCTGCGGGAGAGGGGCCCCCTGCTGGGGAGCAGCCGGGGCGCGCGGGGCACTCCAGCACCTCATCGTCGACTTCGGCATCATCCTCGACCTCCTCGGCTCCTCCTCGACCCCCTCGGCTCCTCGTGCTCCTCGACCTCCTCGGCGAGGTCGAGGGACGTGCAGGCGGCCCCCTGCCTCCGCCAGCGCGCGGCAGGCGGGCGGCCGTGCGTCGCGCCTCTGAGCGTGCCGCTCCGCCCGCGTGGGCGGCCGAGGGTGGCGACCGCCGAGCGCGGAGCCGCCCGACCGCGTCTTGGGAGCGTCGCTCCTCCTCCTCCTCCTCCTC